ATAGATTGGAATGATGAAGACTTGGAGAAGATCATGATCAACAACAAAGCAATCAACATGCTTCAATGTGCTCTCAATCCAACGGAATTCCATAGAGTTTCCGGGTGTGATACGGCTAAGGAGATGTGGGACATGTTAGAAGTCATTCATGAAGGAACAAGCCAAGTGAATGAGTCAAAAATCAATAGACTCATTTACATGTATGAGTTTTTCAAGATGAAACCGTAGGAGAGCATTCAAGATATGTATACAAGATTGAATGACATAGTCACCAATCTCAAGGCTCTTGGTAAAGTCTATCCTCCTCAAGAAGTGGTGAGAAAGGTTCTTAGAAGCTTGCCTAAGAGTTGGGAAGCCAAGAAGACGGCAATTGAAGAATATAAGGATCTCAACACTCTCAAGCTTGAAGATCTCATTGGTAAATTGATGACATATGAGATAGAAGTTCAAGGTGATGGTGGAGTTGAAATAATTGAGAAGAAGAAGAATGTTGCATTCAAGGCTAGCAACCAAAAGGAAAAGAGTGAAGATGATGCTAGTGATGGTGAAAACTTCTCCTCCTTAATCTCTAAAGAAGTGAGGAGATTTATGAAGAAGAATATCAAGAGCAAGCTTGCAAGAAGAGATGAAGGAGAATCTACCAAAAAGAGTGTGAAATGATATGAGTGCAACAAGATGGGGCACTATAGAAATGAATGCCCCAAATTGAAGAAAGGTGAGAAGAAAGACAAGAAGAGCATGAAGAAGAAAGCATTTGCTGCCACTTGGAGCGATGATGAAACTAGCTCAACGGAAAGTGAAAGCTCCTTGGAGAAAGGTGTTGCAAATCTTTGCTTCATGGCTCAAGAGGATAGCAACAATGATGAGGAGGTAAACTCTAACTTTTCTAGTTCAATTAATGAAAGTTCCTTTGAGTATTCTTATAATGATTTATGCAAAGTTCTTGATTGCTCTATGAATGATATTAAGAGACTAGGGAATGAGAATCTTGCTCTTACTAAAACTATTTCATTACTTAAAAATGAGATTGAATCTCTTTCAAAACAAAATGAAGTTTTAGTTAAAGAAAATGCCTCTTTAAATAGTGAGATTGCTTCTTTAAAGAATGAGGAAGTTAATGATGCTTTGGAAAAGGAAAATAAGGATTTAAAGAGGAAAATGAGGATTTAAAGAAGAAAAATGAGGGTTTAAAGAGAAAAACTTATGATCTTGAGAATGTGATTTCCAAATTTACTTTGAGTAAAGAACAATTTGATTCTATCTTAAAATCTCAAAGAAGTGTTTATGACAAAGGGGGCATTGGATTTGATTATTCTAAAAAGCGAAAGCCTTTTAAGACTACCTTTGTAAGAGCAAGTCAATCATATCATCCTAGTGTTACTTGCTATTGTTGTGGTGCAAATGGACACTTTGCTTATGCTTGTCCTTTGAAAAGATTAATAGCTCAAGGTAAAGTGAAACAAATTTGGGTTCCAAAAGGAACCATAAAAACTAACCCCCAAGGACCCAAACAAATTTGGGTACCTAATATCAAAAATTGATTTTTGTTGTGTAGGTGTGCCTTGTGAGCAAAATGAAGAACAAATGGTATCTAGATAGTGGATGCTCAAGGCACATGACGGGTGATCCTTCACAATTCTCATCACTCATGCCCTTGGATGGTGGAACTGTGACCTTTGGTGACAATGGGAAAGGAATTGTGAAAGGAATTGGTAAAATTGGTAACAAATCTATTTCTTTTGATGATGTTTGGTATGTGGATGGATTGAATCATAACTTGCTTAGTATTAGTCAATTATGTGATCGCATGCTTAATGTTGTATTTTTCAAATCTCATTGCAAGATTATTGATTCTAGAAATGATCAAGTGTTGTTTGTTGGCAAGAGACTTAAAAATGTGTATGTGATTGATTTGCATGACATTGATGCTAATATTTGTTTTGCCTCTATATCTCATGATGATACTTGGTTGTGGCATAGAAGATTAGGACATGCTAGCATGAGTATTATCTCTAAGTTATCAAAGCATGATCTTGTTGATGGCTTGCCTAAGGTGAATGTAAATATTGATAGTGTATGTGATGCATGCATGAAGGGTAAGCAAACTAGAGTTTCCTTTAAGACTAAGAAGTGCATCTCTACAAATAGACCTCTTGAGTTACTTCATATGGATTTGTTTGGACCTATGCGCACTCTAAGCATTGGAGGAAAATCATATGT